GTAATCTTGCTGGTTTTTATCTAATCTTTTTTCAATATCGGTGATAAGAACCTTTATTTTTGTTTCGGAGTAAGCAATTTTTGGCTTTTCTTTTTCAAGAGGGGACCCAAAATTATTCATAACACTCTAATAATTCCTCCCCCGGAGAAGGGGAAGGTTTATTTTCCAGTAAAACCGTCCTTAATTCCTTAATCACCTCTTTTTTATTTTCAAATTTACAATCACTTCCTTCTAATTCTTCCAGGTCAGTTAAGGCACAAGCGGAACAAAATTTTTTTTCTTCTCAACTTATACCGATGGGTCTTTCACTAATTACTCTGATTTCTTTTTTTAAATGGCATTTGGAGCAATAACCCCACTGGTTAGGCGGGGTCAGGGTGAGATCAAGGGGCCGTGGTGGAGAGGAGGAATGCTTAACAGTGAGGCGATAAGTTTTATTCTTCATCCTCGCTAGTTTCTTTTTCTACTAGTTCAGTTTCCTCGCCTTCTCCCTCTTTTTTCCCCCCAAATCAGTCAGTTCGCTTTCATCAAGCGATAAGTCCACCGATTACGGCTAAAGCACTCGTTCAGATAGGCCAATAAAAGCCTTTTTCTCACCATTGAGGATTTTGACCCTCATTGTTATCATTGGAACTTTCTTGCTCGGTGGGTTTTTTCAAACTGCTGTAATTAATCTTGCCAATCGCACACTCATAAAGAAATTTCTCGAAATTACCACCCGCTTTTTTATCCTCGTCAGTTAACTCATAACTATCTACTTTTTGCTTACCTCCTAGTTCACTTCACGCATAGCGTAAATGTCGTTCGGCTTTTTTAGGATCATCCAACTTGTTATATTCTCATTGGTGAATCAGTAAAATTACTTCTTTGGGTTCTTTTTTCTCGATTAACTTTTCTAGGCTAGCCAGTTCAGTGTCTTTACCTTTTAAGAAAGTAAGGAAGTCTTCATTCACTTTACCATCTTGACAAACTTTTTTCAATAAAGAATTGACGGAAATAATGGTGTTAAAGGCATCCTGGCCATCTTTTTTTTGTTTTCACTGTTTTACCTTTTCTTCAGTAAAAGCCGTTTCCAATCCCGTTTCAATAGTTTTTAAATTGTTTTGCCAGTCTTTAATAGTTTCTTCGGGCTTTTGGTTGTCAATCGCGGCTTTGAGAGCAGTTTTGATTTCAGTTTCTCGCTCACTTAGTTTGACTAATTTTTCTAACTCGATTAAGGAGTCATGTCATCAGTTTAAGCCACGACCAGTATATTTGCCGTCTTTGTTTTCTTTAATAATTGCTATTCTTTCTTCATCCGTTCGCTGCCGATTAACTTTTTCGTCGGCTCCTTGCTGTCAACCAATCTCCTCTCAACTTGCTTGGCGTCAAGTAGAAAGAACTTGGAGGACAATTTCCTGGCTACTTTGACAAGCCTGATCCTCATTAGTTTTACCGGTTGGTTTTTGGTCATCATTATTCACTAAGAAGCGGATATCCTCCACCAAACGTCGGAAATTAAAATGCTCATCGGTAGTTATTTTGTTATCACCAGCAAAATCATTAGCCTCCGTATCACTAACCTTATATTTTTCCTTTAATTCTTGGCGTAATTCGGTGATTTTAGCGGTAATTTTGTTATCTAATTCCTTTTCTTTAGCGAATAGTTGTTTACGAGCGGCCTGATAATCTTTTTCGGCTTGCTTTAGCTCTTGTTGACCAGATTTCATTTGTTCGGCAATAATGTCCTTATCGGCTTGGAGATTAGTTAATCGGCCTTCTTGGTCTAAATAGAATTCAGGGAACTCTTGATAAGCAAAGTGATTAGTTCCATCCGTAAAGATATCGTAATTAGGAGTGATATCCGTGCCCGTGCCTCCTTTATCAGTTCCCGTGCTAGAAGTAGTGTCATAACTTCTTAAATCAGCAAATAATTGCTTAATGGGGTCGTTGGTAAAAGAACTGATTAACTTTTTCTTGTTTTTTTCATCATGTCCAGCCAAGGAGTTAATTAATCTGCCTCAATCGTGTAGATTATCCTCAACTTTTACTTCAAATTTACTATCTCAACTATATTCTACGGGGCGATATTCGGAGCCATCACTAATTCTAGTGCCGTAGTCAGTAGCGTAAAAGTTAGAATTGCCGTTGTTATCTATATATCCTTCAATGCCAAATTCTTCTAATTTGAATTTGCTACTGGGGATGGGTTTTTCCTCAGCGGGAAGTAAAATGAGGGTGTCACCTTTAATTTCCGTTAAGGCAGGTTTTAAGTCATTATGACTTACTCAATTACTATCACCGAATAATTTCATCAGATTAAACAATTGTTCTAATTCAGTGTGAGTGAAATTATTAGCAGCCACTGGGCTACCATCATTTTTAGTGTAATCATCGCCAAAACTGTATTCAATGCGGTGTCCGTTAGCGGGTTTACCTTTGTCAGGATGTTCTACTTTATTGCCATTTTCATCTAAAATAGTGCCTTTAATAGCATTATCTACTAAATATTTGGCTCTATCTCTGATATTATCCATTCAGGTAATTACATTCGTAGAGGTAAAACCATTTGGCATAGTTGCTCCTGCTCCCTTCACGTAAGCATCAAATTCAGTCTTTTTAATTTTGCTGATTTCTTTAACTACGCGAGTAATTAACTTGACTGCTTCATTTTCGGTAATTCTAAATTGAGTGTGGTTATTACCAGATAATCCCATTTGGAAGGTTCCGCAATAAAGGTTATTATCATAATTCTCAGTTAATGAAGTGGAATTGGCTTTGCTGTATTTTTGTTCTAAATAGTTTTTTAACACTTTCACTCAGCCAATATTGCCAGTCCCATAACCATTAGTACCTCCTTTTAAAAATCTTTCGTGGGCTTTTTTGTATCAGTCAGTAAACTGTTTTCAATCCTTAATCTTGGGTTCTAAATCGTTGATTAACTTAAAAAGGGCCAGGGCTTCACCTTTGTAGCCTTTTTTTTTGCCTAATTCTTCCAATTTGTTCTCAACAATTTGCTTTTGTGATTTTATTTCAGATAATAGTTGCTTGACATCATTGACTTTAATGGTTTCTTGATCAGCCGTTACTTCGGTGCCGTCTGGCTTTTTTTGTCCTTTTTTAAACTCTTGATCTATTTCTTTACCAACTAGTCCGATTATTCTTTTTTCCCATTCAGGGCTTCCTTTGATATATTTATTATTGTTTGGAGTATTCATATTTATGTAATTTGTAATTGTTATGTTTGCCAATTAGTAGAGCAAAACACCATATCACGATACAATTAAACGAACATATGGCGAAACTCTTGCTAATTGGGCTTTTTTGGCCGTTTAGGCCGGGTTAGTTAAAATTTCTTATTGCTTACTAATTTGATTTAATTTCTCCATAACTGCCTTAATTATTGGTTGGCATTGGTCGCGAGTTTCTGGGCTTAATAGTTCAGATTTCGCCACCTTTTCCAAATCCATTAAAAAAACAGTTAGAGTTTTTATTTTGTCTATTTTCTCTTCTTGCGTTTTGACTACTTCTTTTATTTCGTTCATATTATTCATTCTTTTTTTTGGGGCAGTCCTCGTGGTATAATTCAATTTCTACGCTAACATAACCCCTACTTTTCCCTTCTTTAAAATCGCTAAAATCGCCACTGTTATTGTCCCTATATTCTAAATCTCAATTATCACTTTTCCAGTCGGCTTCGGTAAAATATCCGTCGCACTGGCTACATGTTCGGGCTAATATGTCGCTGCTGTAAAATAATGTCTTAATATTATTAGTTGCTCCCATGGTTATACTTCTTTTAATTTCCTTTCTAATTTCTTTACTCGTTCATATTTTCCCCGATTTTCCTCCTCCTTTTTCCAGTCTTGAATATTTTGTCAACAATGGGCAATTAATCTTGGCAAGGAAGGATTAGGTAGCGTGGGGTCATAAGTTTGCCGTAGTTTTCTTAATCCTGGTTCGTTTTTGCCAGCCGACACACTTATCTTAGGCTTTTCAGCATTAAAAAGTTGTTTACGAGCCTCAATCAATTCCCGTTCTGCCAATTTTTCCTTAAACCTTTCCCGATGACTGGGAGGAACATGTTTTAATCATTTTGGGTCTCTAAACTTATTATTCATTAGTAAAATTAATTATATGAGGCTGATGAAATAAAACTTTTTTCTTTTGGTGTTTTCTTTTTTGATTAATTACCTAAGTCACCAGGTGTCATCAGGTCTAATTTGCTTGGGTCATCAATAACTCTGAGTAATTTTTAAATAAGGAACCATTAGAAAAAGAGAGACTTAGTAGAGCATGAATACTCAATGAATTCTCTTATAAGTAAATCTACCTAATTCTAAATCACCAGGTCTCATTTTAGCATAATTAGGGTGGGTTATGTTTACCGACTCGGTAAAATTCCACTCCCTAGTTCACAGTTTAGAAAATGAAATTTTGTCATTCTTTCTTCAGATTATAAAAAAACCTTAAAAAAAGAGACCAATTTTCATTTCCTAAGTAAAAAATGCGTTAAATCCTGTTCCTTACTTGGTGGGGAATCAAAATTCAAACTTCGAGCCCTCGATTCCGGCTGTTTAAGGCACGCATGATAAAAAAAATGTGTTGAATCCGTTTTCCGCTACGTTTCTATGGCTCTTATCCTCCAAAAACGACAGGGGTAGTAGCTGCTTCCTGTCCTCGCTTGTTTTATCCCAAGTGTGTTTTTGTTCTACACTTGCCTTTCGGCTTTGTTGAAGGACTTTTTTTCCAAAAACTTTGTGATTAGTTTCTGGGGGAAGTATTTTAATTTTCCTTTTCCACTTTCTGCATTTCTAAAATAGTAATATGGAAATGTATATGAAAGTCGAAATACCTAAGGGTAGTTCTAATAAAATTGAGTATAATAAAACTAAAAAAAGGTTCGAATTAGATAGAGTTTTGTCAGTGGCGATGTCTTATCCTGAGGAATATGGTGTTATTCCGGAAACATTAGCGCCTGATGGGGACGAATTAGACGTTGTTTGTTTAACTATTCAGCCTACTTTTTCTAGTCTTTATGTTCCCGTGCGAATTATTGGAGTTTTAAGAATGACTGACAAAGGAGAACAAGATGATAAGTTATTAGCGGTTAACGCTGGTGAGCCTCGCTTAAATTATATTCAGGAATTAAAAGATGTTCCTCTTGAAAAAAAAAAGGAAATTAAACATTTTTTCTCTCGTTATAAGGATTTAGAAAATAAAAAGGTAGAAATAGGAGAATTTGAGGGTAAAGAGCAAGCCGAAAAATTATTAAAAGAATGTCAAAAAGCCTATCAAAACGAAAAAAATAGTTAGTTGAGTGTCAAAATGAGAAAGAAATTTTAGATTTACCAATTTTCGCTATCAAAAGCAATTTGTCAAGCTTTTTTGACTTGATTCATTATTTTGTGGTTGGCCATTCCTAAATTCTCTCTTAATCTTGTTCGGTCAATGGTAAAAGGGTAATTAAATTGGATTTTGCTGGGATAGTCCAAACCAGTTAGGGGAGTATCTTGAATAAAAACTTCAACTGGGTCAATGACTTCTATATCTTCGGTAGTTATTGGCACTACTACTAATCATTCATCATATTCATTTTGGGTATTCTCACTAATTATCAAAACGGGACGAATAGGTTTGCGGGTCTCTTTGGCTGGTGGGAATTTTGCTAATCAGATTTCCCCCCGCTTAGGAAACTTATTTTTTGTCTCTTGGTCTAATAATTTATTCATCTTTCCAATCTTCAAATTGAGCGGCTTCCATCATTTTTAATTCTTTTTGTAATTTTTTATTTTTGGCTTTTCTTTGATAACCAGCAATTTGATAACCAGCAATTAATTTCTTTTTTAATTCATCTTTTTTCTTCTTTTCTTCCTGGGCTAATTCAGATAGTCCTTTTTCTACTGCTTGATTAACAAAAGAACTAATTTTCCCTAGTCCGATTTTCAGTTTTAGTTCTTGATAAGTATTTTCCTTAATGGCAATGCTTAATGTTCTTGTCATAATAATTGTTAATTGTCATATACTACTGTTTTAATAATTAATTTCCGCTTTTTACATCTTTCCAAATAAAATCAAAATCTAAACAATCTTTAAAATACTT